AAAACTAACTCGCGAAACACTCGACCCCCCCCCAGCCATGACGGATGAACAGCCTGGCCGAGACGAAGTCACCCCCCCGGAGCGATAGATAACGACTGCGACGGCGCCGCGCGAGGGGGGTCTCACGAACAATAACAACCAACCATCAAACATTACACTCCACTTCACGAGCAAATGGAAACTTTGAACGATAGTGCAGTAGTGCGTGTGCTACGTACTGGTAACAATCTACTTCAGACGATAAGTATTGAAAGGCTCTAGTATTGTAGTTACTCTAGTACCGTAGTGATGATAGTACTCGCATCCTGGCTGGGGTAGTGGTGCTCTAAAACTGTAGTAGTCAAGTACGGCAATCGTGCCCTGATACAGTAGCGCTGTAATATTAATGCGGTAGTAGTAGCACTCGATTACTGTAGTCGTTGTAATACGCTAATAGTGCTGTAGTCGTACTACACTACCCTAGTCCAGTAGTAGTAGTAGTAGTAGTAGTAGTAGTAGTAGTAGTAGTAGTAGTAGTAGTAGTAGTAGTAGTAGTAGTAGTAGTAGTAGTAGTAGTAGTAGTAGTAGTAATAGTATACTAATAGTAGTAGTAGTAGTAGTAGTAGTAGTAGTAGCAGTAGTACCTAGTAGTAGTAGTAGTAGTAGTAGTAGTAGTAGTAGTAGTAGTAGTAGCTAATAGTAGTAGTAGTAGTAGTAGTAGTAGTAGTAGTAGTAGTAGTAGTAGTAGTAGTAGTAGTAGTAGTAGTAGTAGTAGTAGTAGTAGTAGTAGTAGTAGTAGTAGTAGTAGTAGTAGTAGTAGTAGTAGTAGTAGTAGTAGTAGTAGTAGTAGTAGTAGTAGTAGTAGTAGTAGTAGTAGTAGTAGTAGTAGTAGTAGTAGTAGTAGTAATAGTAGTAGTAGTAGTAGTACTACTACTACTACTACTACTACTACTAGGTAACGGTAATACTGTAGTGACGGCTGTAGAAGTAGTACAGTAGAACTCTAGTGTTGTACTACTCTATGCTTGTAGTAGCACGCTATTACTGTCGCACGGTCGTAACACTGTAGTAGTAGTAGTAGTAGTAGTAGTAGTAGTAGTAGTAGTAGTAGTAGTAGTAGTAGTAGTAGTAGTAGTAGTAGTGGTAGTAGTAGTAGTAGTAGTAGTAGTAGTAGTAGTAGTAGTAGTAGTAGTAGTAGTAGTAGTAGTAGTAGTAGTAGTAGTAGTAGTAGTAGTAGTAGTAGTAGTAGTAGTAGTAGTAGTAGTAGTAGTAGTAGTAGTAGTAGTAAGTAATAGTAGTAAAGTAGTATTATTAGTAGTAGTAGTAGTAGTAGTAGTAGTAGTAGTAGTAGTAGTAGTAGTAGTAGTACGGTTAGTACTGTGGTAGTACTGGTACTCTCGTTGGACAGGTGACAACTGACAAATCGCGCGCAGGCGGACCCCCCACTTGGGAGAAATGACGGGGGGTCCGATCGAAATTGACCCCCCTGGGAAGATGAATAACGGCGGGAACGTTCCACCACTAACCCTCCCCCCCTGTTGACGACTGAACCGGCCTGAAAGCACTTACCGGGTCAACATCTTATAACCCGGGGTAATCACCGATGCACACCATCATTCGCCGATGAACGCGCGTGTGGAACCGTTGGATGCCCGCGGGAACAACGAGGGACAACCCAGGGGACAATCCAAAAGACAACCGCGGAACAACCCACGGGGCACTCGCGGGGCCACCGCGGGACGACCCACGGGACAGCCACAGGACGACCCACAAGACCACCACAACCGGAGCCCGGGCGCGCGCGGGAGAGGAGGAAGAGGAGGAGGAGGAGGAGGAGGAGGAGGAGGAGGAGGAGGAGGAGGAGGAGGAGGAGGGGGAGGAGGAGGAGGAGCGGGCCCGAGCCCGAGCCCGAGTCCGATCCTGAGGGCGTGCGCGCGTGCGCGCGTGCGCGTGCGCGCTCTGCGCGTGCGCGAGCTTCCTGCCCCGAGCGCGCTCCGCCGCCCGCGGCCTCCTCGCCCCCCATTTCGCGCGCGTCCCGCTCCTGGCCTGTGCCCGAGGAGGCCCGCAGGGCCCCATCGGTTGCCTCTGACCGCGGCTTGGTGCCCAATTTTTTCGGTCGCGGCCGCGAGACAAGGGTCAGGCGGCAAGAGCAAAGTCCGGGGCGCGAGCGAGGCTAATTAGCAACGACAGGCGCAGGCCGGCCCGCCCGCTCACAAAGCAGCCGCGAAGCTGAAGGGGAGCTGACGCGGCTTGGTGCCCAACCGCTGCGACAAAAAATGCACGCGCGTGCGTGCGCGTGCGCTTGCGATATGCTATGCGTGCCATCACAAAAAAAAACACATCACGACCCAAGTATTCAACAGAGTGCAGACAACCTGAGACGGCCCAAAAAGATCCCCCAGACGGCCAAGTGGGGCCCCGAGGCGGACCAAGGGGGCCCCAGGACTACCAGAGAGGGCCACAAGATGGCCCAAGAGGGCCCCAAGACGGCCCAAGTGCTCCACAAGTGCCCATAGGCACCCAAGACGGCCCAAATGAGCCCTATGAGACACCCTCACTCAGTCGAAACGAGTGGCGTCACATGTGACGGTCTTCTTTGCGGTAGCCGAAGGGTGACCACACAGAGTGCTTCGCTGGCACCGTGGCGGATTTGCCGCAGACAATTGGATATCCTCCTCCTCCTCCTCCTCCTCCTCCTCCTCCTCTTCCTCCTCCTCCTCTGCCTCCGCATCCTTCTCCTCCTCTGTATCACCATCACCGTTCTCATCATCATCATCATCATCATCATCATCATCATCATCATCATCATCATCATCATCATCATCATCATCATCACCGTCACCGTCACCGTCACCATCACCACCACCATCACCATCCCCACCATCATCATCATCATCATCATCATCATCACCAGCAGCAGCATCAGTATCAGCATCATCAAACACAACATCATCATCATACTCAGCATCATCACCATCACCATCATCATCATAATCAGCATCATCCTCTGCATCATCACCACCATATCTACCATCACCATCATCGTCATCATCACCAGCATCACCATCACCGTCTCCATCGCCATCACCATCATCATCACCAGCGTCATCATCATCATTATTATCATCATCATCATCATCATCATCAACGGCATCATCAGCACCATCATCACAGTCACCATCGGTTTCACCACCATCATCATCGGCATCACCATCATCACTCATGATCATCATCACCATCTCCATCACCATCATCATCACCATCACCACCACGACCACCTCTACTACCACCATCACCATTACCATCATCATCAGCATCACCATCATCATAATCATCATCATCAGCATCGTCGTCATCGTTATCATCATCATCATCGCCATCATCACAATCATCATCAGCATAAGCATCATCATAATCATCATCATCATCACCACCATCACCATCACCATCACCATCGCCATCATCATCACCATCACCATCACCATCACCATCACCATCATACTCACTATCCTCATTCCCATCCCGTCAAAATCCCCATCTCAATCACCATTCGCATCCTCTTCCTGATGGCCTTGTATCTTCACGCAAGATTCAGGGTCTGGGTCCGGACCCTCGCCGCAGATCGTGGCGGTCCGCAGTTCGCCTGGCTCGCAGTCCAGCTCTCCCTCCTACTCTCCCATTGCCACGTGTACTTCCCCAATTCTCCCCCTCTCCTGCAATCCATCCTGTTCCCCTCCCAATTCCCGCCTCCTAGCCCCCTGCTCGCTACCGTCATCCACTCTGCCATTCTCCATCCTTCTCCCCTCAGCACGCAGCAGGAACAAGGAAGAGGTAGAGGAGGGACAGCAGCAGCAGCAGGAGAAGCAGCAGCAGCGGAAAATACAATGGTAAAATGGTCAGGCTCTACCTATCCACCCTCGCTCCCCGAGCGGCCCGCGCTGGCCATCTTCGACCTCGCGCTGGCCTAGATGGCGACGAGATGCACCGCGGCAAAATAGTGGGGGAACTTTCGGATCAGCGAAGTATGGGGCCACGACAATTGTGAACGGTGTGCCGAAGTGGACATGCGGAAGGCAGAGGCAGGGAGGGGAGGAGGGGGGAGGGGGAGGAGGAGAGAAGGAAGGGGACGCGTGACGCTGTCTCTACAAAACATGAACCCAACACCACTGGGTGGTTGAGAACAAGCAGCATATGCAATCATTCTGCTTGAGGCAGTGGTCGACGCATGTCATGATGAAGTCCGAATGAAAACAAATATAATATTACACCGGAGAAAAAAACCAATCAGTGGATGGTTTTAAAATTAGTGATATGGATATTGGGATCGATTGTGAAATCGATCGTGGAATCGATAGCGAGGTCGATTGTGAGGTCGATCGTGATACCGATAGTGAAGTCGATTCAATGAAATCGATTGTGAGATCGATCGTGAGATCGCTCCTGAGATCAATAGTGTGATCGATTGTGAGATCGATAGTGAGATCGATTGTGAAATCGATAGTGGGATCGATAAAGAAGTGGGTAATGAGATCGATGGTGAGACCGATTGTTAAGAAAATCGGCCAAAAAACCCGGGAATGTGGGCACCCCGCCGCCCACCGAAGTTGGCTGGGAACCCGAACCCGGGAACCCGGGAACCCAGAAGCGGGAACCCGGGAACCCGGCAGCCCACCGAAATCGGTCCGGAACTTTCGCCAAATCCTTCAATCTCCGCAAGGACTTGTTCAGTGTAAGCACTGATTAGGGAATTCTATGTTCCTCTCTCTCTCTCTTTCTCTTTCTTTCTCTCTCCTTCTCTCTGTATATATAAATATGTATATATCCTCTCTTTCTCTCTCTCTCTCTCTCTCTCTATATATATAACTATGTAATGCTCCCTATATCTTGCGGTGCATTATATATACACAGATATACGTACCTACACGCACGTCATCCCTGTCTCTCTCTCTCTCTTTCTGTACTCCGCCTCCCTCACCCTTTATTTACCATGGTTGTTTCGTTCTCTCTCTCTCTTTCTCTTTCTCTCTCTCTCTCACCCTCTCTCTCTATACGTATCGGAAAGAGAGAAGTGACATCGCAACGAAACGGAGACCCCCTCACCGGGATATTGGTTTCGGATGCACGTTCGTGTCGCGCGTACGGGCGAGGCGAAGCTGCGTGGGCGAGCGAGAGAAACGAACTCGCCGTTGCCAGGGCGAAGCCGCACCAAACGTTGCTGTCCCCCGTGTTGGCCAGCAGTGACCCTGTGGTGTCCCGATAGTGTCCCGTTGGTGTCCCGAAAATATCCCGATGGTGTCCCGTGGTGTCCCGAGATGTCCCGTGGCGCGCGGGTGTCCCGTGCTATGTTATACGCTATGCATTGTCATGCTAGCGATAGTCAGATCATGTGAGATCGATAGCGCGATCGATACTGAGATCCATTGAATGAGATCGACAGTAAGATCGATCGTGAGATCGAAAGTGAGATCGATAGTGAGATCGATAGTGAGATTGGTAATGAGGTCGATTGAGTGAGATCGATAGTGAGACCGGTACTTACCAGGATCGATAGTGAGGTCGATAGCGAGATGGATAGTGATATCGATTGAGTGGGATCGATAGATCGCTCGTGTGTTCGATTGTTCGATAGTGGTATCGGTTGATCGATCGTGAGGCCGATTGCGAGATTACTTGTGATATCGATAGTGAGATCGATAGGACATCGACGATGATATCGATAGTGAGACCGATAGTGAGAGCGATTGTGAGATCGATCGTGCGATCGTTCGTGAGATCGATCGTGAGATCGATGGCGAGATCGATGGAGATATGAATAGTGTGATCGACAGTGAGATCAATAGTGGGATCGATAGTGATATCGAGAGTGGGGTCGGTAGTGAGATCGATAGTGAGATCGATTGAATGAGATGGATGGTGAGATCGATAATGACATCGATAGTGAGATCGACCAGGAAGCCGAGAACCTGGGACCCAAAAATTGGAACACTGGGAACCACGCCGCCCACTGAACCCCGCCGCCCACCGAAATCGGCCCAGAACCTGGAACTGGGAACCCAAGAACCCGGAAGCGGGAACCCGGGAACCCGGCCGCCTACCGAAATCGGCCGCCAAATCTTTCAATTACACCAGAGATAGTTTGAAATTGGTAATGTGGATATTGAGATCGATTGCATTGTGAGATCCATTGTGAGGTCGATCGTGAAATCGATAGTGCGGACGATTGTAAGGTCGATCGTGAGACCGAGAGTGAAGTCGATGCAATGAGATCGATCGTGAGATCGCTCGTGCGATCTATGGGGCAATCGCTTGTGAGATCGATAGCGAGATCGCTTGTGAGATCGATGGTAAGATCGATAAAGAAAACTGGTAATGAGATCGATGGTGAGACCGATCGATAAGAAGATCGACCAAGAGCCCGGGAACCCCGCCGCCCACCGAAATTGGCCCGGTTAACCCGGAACTGGGAACCGGGGAGCCCGGAAGCGGGAACCCGGGCACCCGGCCGGCCGCCTAGTTACCGAAATCGGCCCGGAACTTTCGCCAAGTTCTTCAACACCCGCTATAGGGCCCCTTCAGTGCAAGCACCGATTGGGGAATGTCCGATAGGGCCCCCTCAGTGCAAGCACTGATGGGGGAATTAAAGACGATACCTGAAGGTGGGATCGGCGAATTGCTTGATGGAGTCTCGATGGAAGGAGATATGAAGCATGTGAGAGCCCTGCGGGAGGCTGGGGTCGGCACATCTCTGATTGAAGTCCAAAACAGAGGTGCGTATGAAAGAATTCACCTGGAGGGTGGAATCGCCTTCTGTACTATTTATTGACTCCCGATCAAAAAACGCATAAGATTTTCAATAATTCTGATGGAGGCAATGATCGGCGAATTTCCGATTGAATTCCGATCGGAAACCAAAAGAAAATATTAAATAATCCTGCGGGTGGCTGGAATCGGCGCTTTTCCGATTGAGCTTCGATTGGAAAACAAATGAATGAAATATGATGGAATTCTGTTGGAGGCTGGGGTCGGCACATTTCATGTTGGACTTTCTCTTGAAGAGAAGCCATGTGATAATCCTGCGCGGGGCTGGTGTAGGCGTATTTCTAACTGAAGTCCGAATGGAAAATACTTAAGAAAATGAGCACTGCCCCTGAATCACATGAACATCTCAGGTGGAGGCTGTGATTGGCGCGTTTCCGATTGAGTCCGATTGAGCAACAAATGAACTGCTAAACAGCTTTTCGGGGGGCTGGGGCCGGCGCGTCTGAACATGGACTCCTACGGAGAAACCAACAGCATATCAACACATTCTGCTGGGCATTGGGCCGCAGAGTGGCTGCGCAGCAACGCGCGAGGCACATTTCGGGAGCGGCCAAGAGGGGGGTGTCCAAAAGGGGGGGGTGCAAATCATGACCGGCGGCGCGTGCGCGCCCCAGCGGGGGGGCCAGGGACGTAATGAAACAAGAAGAGGCGCCATGAGATCTGGGGAAATATCATGGCCCCCGCCATGATATCCCCCCCCCCCCCTAGTCATCCCCCCCCTCTTTTCCGCCCCCGAACATTCCTCGGGGGGAGCCCTCGGGAGCCCAACGGGACCGGCGTGACCCCGTGCTGACCCCGTGACGTGCCTCCGTCTTGGCCATGGCCGCCGCTCCAATACATAGCACGAACGGCGCCTCGTGACCGAAATCATAGGCCTAGCGCAGTGGTAGCATGACATATCCGAAATCAAGAAGCAGGATGAGGAGGAACGGGATGACGAGCACCTCTGTCACAGAGGGCATCCAAACGCACCCCCTCTGTCACAGAGGGCCTCCAAACGCACCCCCTCTGTCACAGAGGGGCAACATGATCACTTGAATGCGGCGTTTGGATTACCGAAGTCCTACACGAAGCCAAACAGAACAAGCTGTCGTCCCTTGGCAGGGCAACCGTCACTTACGATCGGCGCTGGAAAGATAGGGTCCGGCACCGATCTCCGAAACGCGCGCTTTATCCTGGGGAGGCCATCCCCCCGCGATGCCCCAACGATGCCCATTATTCGAAAATGACTCACCCCTGAGACTGCGAAATCTGCATCACCTCACGAGCGAAGGCGCGGCCCTTCCGAGGAGAGGGCGCAAACAAAAAGTGTGCATGTTCAGGCGTCTTGCGGCTCTTCTTGTTTCCTCCCTCGCGAAGTCCCCTTCTGTGGGCGCCCCCCCCCCCCCCGGCCAGGGACTCCCTCGGCGCACGCGAGATGCCCAAGACTGGGGGACCGCAGACCACGAGAGCGGGCCCAGCGGCCCAGCGGCGCCACCCCGCACGCTGCCTGCCAAGAGCCACGCCGCGTGCCAGCCTCCACGGGCCTCCCGCCCGCTTCCGCCAAGGCACGCCGCCCGCGCTCCGGGGCGGCGCACAGAGACATTACCGATGCTGCATGCCCTCCTTGGAGGCGCGCGTCCGACCCGAACACGTGGTGCATCAACCCTGTAGTGTATGTCGTTTCCCCAACGGTGTGGCCAGCAGGCGCCCGCAGGCTGGCCCGCGCGGGCCCCGAGCGGTAATGAACGGGGCCCTGCGACAAACAAACAAATGGACACAACCAACAGGATTCCCAATGTTTTCCCATATTTCTGATTTTTGTCTCCCCCCCCACTTCCCATGTGTTCCCATATGTTCTGGGGGATCGACGATTCATTGTGTCTGTGTGTTTTCCCCTCCTGAAGGAAGTTGTTGCAGTGGATGTGTGAGCTATGTGGTGCAGTGGTGTCAGCTGTGTGGTGCGAAATGCGTGGTGCAAGCTGGATTCGGAAACGAGGCGGCAACGGGGCATCAACGCGGCGAAACCTCGCCAGCCTCACTCGGCGCGCGAGGCGGGAGCGAGGCGGCAACGAGCGGCAGCGTGGCGAATCCTCGCGGGACCCGTCCCATTCCACGGTGCAATCCAAGTTAGGACTCTACGGTGAACACTGTTTTTTTGCAACCGCATGTGCTGTCCAGGGCCTTCCCACGCGCAACACGCGCGCGGACCTAAAAGAAACACCAGCATAATCCTACCATGATCTACACTGAAGCTCAGCACATTGCCTGGTTTCAGGGATGTTGCCGCCACAGAGCAAGGTCAACAAAGACATGCTGACAAGACCAAAACAGGAGGGGACAAGTGGACAACGAAGAGTCACAGATGTTGCTGGGAGCGCGAAGGAAAGTGAGACTGGTCCTAAGAAGCTCGCGGCAAGTCGAAGTGTCTCAGCTAGAATATGCAGCGATGCGGACGTCTCTCGTGCCCAGGCCCTCCAGGCAGGAGAGGGCGACGAGCTGAAGCAGCCCAGCATGATGGAAAACGCTCGGTGCCGCACGAGCCTGTCGGTGACCTCTGACGAGACACTGACTGAGCCGCACACGCAGACCGCCTTCGCCCGACGCTCCCCCCTCGGCCGCTCGCTGGCGCGGCCGCCGCCCGCGCCCGCCGCTGCCCGCGCCCTCTCGCGGCCCAGGGCCGGGACTCGTCGCCGCTCGCCGCGGCTCCCAAGTCACCGGTCCCGGTGGAGGGCCTGCGTCAGGCCCGCGAAGTCGGTGTCCAGCATCCACCGCATGAGCCGCAGGAAGTCGGGGAAGACGATGGAGCCCCCGTTCTTGAAGTCTCTGATCTTCTGCTCCAGCTGGCCCCTCTGCGCGCTGTCCATTCTGAGGCTCAGCGAGGAGATGAGCCGCCTGATGGCGTCCCCGTCGAGGGCGTCGGCGTCGTGGTGGTCCTCCTGCGGACGGGAGTTCACCCACCTCGGGTGCGAGAGGCGCTGATTCTGGTGGATAGCCCTGGTCTCCGCCAGGAACTGCCTGTGCTTCTCCAGCCAGTCGACGAAGATCTCCCGGAAATCGTCCACCTCTGCTCGCTTGAACTGCGTCTCCTCTATGGCCCGGTTCTCTCGCTCCAGGACCTGGCTGTCCACGTGGGAGTACAGCAGCCGAAGCAGCTGCACGAGCTCCCAGAAGTTCATCGTGCCGGAGCCTCTCTCGCCGATGTCCGAGACGCCGGCGGCCACCGCCATGGCCCTGGCCTTGTCGATCTCGTTGAGCACGCGTTCGCGGTCCTGGACGGTGCCAGTGGAGAGGCCGAGCTGCTCGAGCAGCGGTGCCACCTCCTTCCCGCTGAGTACCCCAGATCCGTCGGTGTCGTACCGGTCGAACACGATCTTCAAGTCCTTCAGCTCGTGCTCTGTGAATCCAGCACAGCAGCGCTGCTCCTTTACGCGCACTTCTCGCCGATGGTTCAGCATGCTGATCACATCGTCGAACGTCAGTAGCGTGACGGCGTTGGCTGTCGACGCCATTCTCGTCGGAGCCGATGCCATTTTGGTTACCCCGCCCTCTGAGAGGTCCACGAGGGAGTCGGGGTAGCCCATCGCGCTGAGGATCTCCGACGCCTCGTGCTGGGTGATCACCTTGCCAGACGAGATCGCCGCGAGGCTCTGCCGCTGCGTCGTCGACTCCGCGGCTTCTCGCGCGTGGAGGTCGAAGGCTTCTCGCAGCTCGGACAGCTCATCCTCGCGGTGGAGGCGCATCAGCCGGCGGAACTCCCTCAAATCCAGGCTGCCGCTCCCGTTGAAGTCGACCTTCAACAACAGCTTGTTCACTTCCTCGATTCTGATCACGCTACCTAAATACTGGAAGATGCTGTTGAGCTCCATCACCTCGATCTCGCCACTGTGATTTGTGTCGAATTTGGTGAAGACATTCTCGATCTCCCGCTGCTCGGCCGCAGAGAAGCCCTCGTGATCGCGCAGGATCAGCATGAAGTTCACAAACTCATCGTAGTCCAACTGTCCGTCCTTGGCGGCGCCCTCCCAATCCTCGTCGGCCTGCTCCAGGTACTCCTCCACGACGTCCTTGTGCACCGTGTACCCCAGGTTCTGGACCACTTGCTGCAGCTCCTCCCTGTCGATGGAGCCACTCCCGTCCTGGTCGTACCTCTCGAACTTGCCCCTCCAGTCGGCGAAGGTGATCTCCCGAAGGCGCCTCGCCCAGAGCAGCACCTCCTGGAAGGACAGCGGCTGGCACTGGCACGCCCCCGCGGCACTCTCGTCCGACAGCCGGTGCTCCACGCTCTCGGGCTTGATGCTGGTCGCGCCGGCAAAGGACAGGCCTCCGCCGTGGACCACCTCGCTGCCCAGCCGCGTGGCCACGTCCAGCGACGACGGGCCGAAGTGGCGCAGGAGCACGTGGGCCAGCCTCCTCGCCGGCAGCGTCCACCCCGTCGCGTCGGCCTCGCCGCTCCCGCGGATGTACTTGGCCGCAGCGATGCCGATGGTGGACTCCTTGGGCATCGGCCTGTGGCCCTCGGACTCCGGGAACTGCGCCCTGGTCTCGGCCATGAAGGCGTCGTAGAGCGCCTGCACCTCGGGCTGCGTGAAGCCCTCGGTGCTCTTGTACACCTCGAGGAGGTGGACCGTCTCCTCAAAGTTCAGGGAGCCGCTGCCGTCCTCGTCGACGGCCGCCAGCGCCTCTGCGATGGAGCTCCGCAGCGGAGTGAATCCGAGCGCGCTCATGAACTTGCGCAGCTCGTCGGTGGAGATCTCGCCGCTGCCGTCCTCGTCGAATCTCTTGAACATCTTTCGCATCTCGTCCACCTCATACTTTGCAAACCGCTCGACAAACGAGCAGAGCTCCATCAGGTCCAGCGCGGAATAGACGCAGACCTCCGCGCCGATGCTATCGATCACCTCCTGGTCGAGCTTCGTGTAGCCGAGGTGCGACAGGACCCTCGGCAGGTCGTCCTTGTGCACCTCCGAGGCGAGCGGGGCGCGGAAGCGCCAGAACGCGGAGCGCACGCGCGCGACCTCCACCTCGTCCAGGCCGTGCGCCTGGGTCACCAGCCTGCTCATGGCCCGCTCCCGGATGGCGCGCTTGTTGATGAGCTGGCCCTTCGCTGCGCCAGCCCTGGACGGGACGCGGTAGGCCTTGAGGCCCAGCTCCTCCTCCTCGGACCCCGAGCTCCCCGAGGAGTGCCTCCTGCCGTGGTCGGAGCCGCTGTGGGCGCTCGCCGCCGAGGACCTCCTGCTCATCGCCTCCGCCTGGAACGTCACGCCCACGGCGCTGGGCCTCGGCCGGTCCTTGGAGCCGTGGGTCGGGGACGAGGGGGCCGGGGGCGCCGAGTGCAAGGACACGCCGCCCGAGGCCTCGGTGCCGGTCGGCGCAGTCACTGGGAACGCCAGCGGCTTCCCTGTCCCGCTGCGCGACGGCGAAGGATCGCTGGCGGCGTTCGGCGGCATCGTCATCCTGGTGCTGCCCTGGCCCCCTCGCAGTGCTCCCGGCGGCAGGGTCATGCCGTCGTTGAGGATGTCGAACTTTCTGCGATCCTTCACCTCGCGCACGGAGGACAGCGTGGCACTCATCCAGCACTGCTCCTTCTCGCCCAGAGGAACCTCGGTGGCAGGCCTCGGCGCCTCCAGCGCTCCTGGGCCACCGCCTTCGGCCATGGGGGCCCGGGAGTCCACCTGCGGCCTGGCCAACCGGGCCTGCCCGCTCGTGCCGCCCGCGGACTGCGCGCGCTGCTGGCGCTGGGCCATCTGGTGCCTCCGCAGCGAGGGCGCCACGGCGTTCTCCGCGGTGCGCGGCCGCTGCCCCACGGCGCCGGCCGCCAGCGCTCTCGTGGCGCCGGCGGGCGGCGCCCTGGCGCCCACAGACCTGCGCGCGGCGCCCGCGGACGCGACGCGCGGCGCCGGCGCCGCGCGCCGCCCGGCCGCGGACCCTGCGCACGGCAGCGAGGCGTCGGCGGCGTCCGCGCGCGCGCCGTCCAGCGAGGCGTCGGCGTGCAGCTGCGGCAGCGAGGCGTCGGCCCGGCGCTGCAGCAGCGCCGCCGCTGGCAGCGTGGTCCGCGAGGGGGAAGCGCCCAGCTCTGCGGCCGAGGGGCTGCGCGTCGGCGCCGCCGGCGCGGCCCGCGTCGCGGAGGCCGACACGGCCCGCCTTGGTGGCGGGCTGCGGCTGGGCCCCGCCGCGGCGGCCGCCACCTGCTGCGCGAAGGAGCTCGACTGCGCGCCCGTCGGAGTCCACGGCGGCGTGGGCAGCGGCTTGGGCACGAACTCCAGCTCCGCGGCTCCAGGGTCTGCCAGGGGCGACTGCGGGTCCCCAGCGAGGCGGCGCTCCCTGCGGAGGGCTCTCTGGGCCTCGTACTCCTTCCGCCTGCGCGCCGCCTCCCTGCAGCGTCTGGCCTCGCGCGCCTCCCGGGCCATGGCCTCGGCCTGTTCGTCGAGCTCGTCCCCCATCCATGCCTGGGCGCTGCCATGCGACCCAGCATTCAAGACGATGCACATGGAGGCCTTGTCGAGGCGCTCCCGCCGCCTGTCCATCGCCTTCCTGTCCCGCCACTGCTTGCACACTTTGTCGAAGTCCGCCCCGCGCAGCAGGTCGTTCACCGTCTTGCGGAGGGGCGGGGGCAGGGAGGTCATCTCCTCGCCCATCGCGGCGATGCCCGCCGCCACGACCTTAAAGGATGGAAACGGCGCCGAGGCCATGACCTCCCTATCGGCGAGCCGCACCCGCTGCCGCGGGCGCGGAGGGCGCACTCGCGATCGCGCGCGCGGGCGGCGCGCGGCGCGCGCGGCAGCCCGGAGCGCTTGAGCCAAAATGGGTACGGAAGTCCCCACATAGGTTGGGGGAGCCATCCTTTCTGGGCGGCGCGCCCCAGGGGGCAGGGGGAGGGGGAAGGCCTCCTGGAGGGAAGCTGCCTCAGGGCGCGGGCCGTGCGCCTACAGACAGGGCCCGCCGCTTCCACGAGGCAGGCGTGCTTCCAAGAAAGCCTTCCTCCTTCCCCCCTGCCCCTCCTCCCCAGACCCCCGACGTCATGATTTTTTCATGACGTCGACCCCCCGGGGTCTCGACCCATTCCCCGGGACCGGTTTTTCGTCCTGAGTCGTTTCCTGACGGTCCCGAGGGCCGGCAAGGGCCCCCAAAGGCCAAAAATTGTGAAAAACCTCCCGTCGTGATTCTTTCATAACTCGAGGGGGTCTGGGTCTGTGCGTGGCCGCCTTTCTCCCCGCATCATCTCACGGATTCCCACACGCGTTCGGGGGCGCCTTGGCCCTGCCGGGCCGCCGCCGCCGCTGCCCGGGGCCCGCTCGGAGAGCCCGCCGCGGGCTCCAGGGGTGAGCTGCCGCCGTCGGCGTACAGAGGCGCTCGTCCGAAGAGTACCGTCGGGGCGTTGACCTGAGGAACCCTAAGTGAGGACCGAGGCCCTTTTTTCACACAAGTGAAAAGCTTCAACTTCCCATCGAAACCACAAGGAAAACCTGGGGCAAGCTGTGAAACACTTGAGGAGCACGGAGCCCCTCCCCACCGAAAAGGGTTCCTTCTTCAGGGCCCCGGCTGTAGGCCACCACAGGTGAACCCTTCGGCTGCACGCAAGAGTGGCCCTGGGCAAGAGCGGCCTTTGGTGCGCGGTTTTGTGGGGGCCGCGGGGGGACCAAGCTGTGACCAGACACAAGCGCGCAAAACGCTATTACGGCACCGCGTTCGGCGATTGGGGGATCCGCACCAAAGATGACGCCGGCGAAGGGTCACTCTTACGTCTAGTCGAACGCTACCCCTGCAGGTCAGATTCCTGAAAACTGGCCGGGGTTCAGAATTCGAAGAATGTCTGCAGCCAGATGAAGCCCAGCGGGGGTGTCTGATACCCCAGCGTCGTTTGGACCCGCAAGGGTAGGGTCCGCAAACGGTCGCAGAAAGAGGCTGCCTCGACGGGTCCCATCTCAATGCTGCCTTCACGTGCCCACAACTCGGAGCCGCAAGCGCACCCGCTCTCAGCACTGAAACTGGAGGGCGCAAGGGGCCCCCACGAAGCAGCGTGGGCTGCGCCGTTCGGCGGGCGGTTTGTGCATCAGCGGCGGCGAAAGGAAAGGGGCAAGCGGTGTGCCCCGCGAGGCGCCCGAGCAGCACGCGGTGTGCGCCGTGCCCGCGCCGCTGCCTGCACCCGTGGACCCAACCGGCCATCCATTTCGCGCGCCTCCCAAGCCCGGTCACGGAAGAAGTCGGTGAAGGTGTCCGCGC